GCTACTGACAGAGACTTAAAGATGCTCATGAGGGAAGAGTCATTTCAGCAATACTTTCTATGCCAGAGTCACCTGGGTCCCCTGTCCAGGCCAGCCCTGCTAGATGAAGGGATGGTGGGGGGGGCGGACAGATGCTGGGTTTAGCAGTGGGTTCAAGCTGAGCCTGACTGACCCCTGCTGGTTGCTGTCTTGAATTACAAGAATAAGAACTAAGAGGTGGAAAAAAAAAAAGATCAGACTAACCAATGGCTGGAGTGTGTGTATAGAGGGGGTGGTGTCCAGACAAGGAACTAGGTCCAGGAGTGATGTGGCTAAGCCCGTCCTTTTACCTGGGAAAAGGAGAAACTTCTCTTTGCCCTCTACAGAGGGTTGTGTTGTGACCTAGGTAAGCACCATCTTCTTCCAGGGGGGCCCAGGAGTCAGGTGACATTAGAAGGAGTCACGATTAGGGAGGACCATGAGCAAACATCACCTCCCCAGCACCTGGAGTTTGGGGAAAGGGGAGCAGATGCTCAGGTACAACCCCACTCATTCCGTTGACTGGAACAGAGACAGCTCTCTCTCTGAGTCAGAGCTTTGCAACACACACAGGCTCAACGACTCTCTCAGTCAGTAACAAGCTGCTAAGTGGGTCTCTTCCAGGCCACCAGAAAAATCAAAGGCCACGGATCAGCACCAAGACCAGAGTTTCTAGAGAAGCAAAGCGGTACCCAGGAATTCCTCAAGAGCTGGGCTGGGCTGGGCTGGGCTGGGCTGGGGAGACAGCCAAAACCATGCACAGGACTGGAGCTTGGTCTCCAGCACCACTAAGTTCCCCAAGCACTGTCATCAGTGACTCTGAGCATTGCTGGGGTGGTCCATGGTCCCCAGGACTGAAGGACCCAAGCATTACCAAACCCTCAGTCTGAGCACTGAACCATTCTGCCAGGTGGACTGGGTACTGCTGGGAGTAGCTCTTGGGCACCCTGAGAACTGCTTGGGAGGACCCTGCCAAAGCAAGCAAGCAAGCAAACAAATAAAGGCATTCTCAGCTTAGGAGAGCACCGAAGACTCAGACTCAGATGGGCAGGGAAGAGCAAGTGCCAGGAACTCTGGGCAGGAAAAGTGAATGTCAGCTGGGCACCCGGAATGCCTTTAGGACAGAGAGAGCCCCCTCCCCCAATTGATCCAAGTCCCAGAGCCAAGGTCAGCCCATGGGCGGGGACAACCATTCTCCTCTTCCCTGAAAATGGGCCACTTGCCCTAAGTGCTCACAGCTGCTGCTGCAGATTTGCCGGAAAATGATTTAAATGCACATTGGATAAATGAAAGCACCAAATAGAAGGCCTTTTGTCATCACCCAGGAAGAGTGGGGAGGAGGTTAATGGCAACATGTGTCTGAGGGAAGAGGTGGGAGGGGGCTCTGTGAGCACCTACAGAGGCTCCCGGAGCTGATGTTTGAGAAGCAGCAGGTAGAGATGCCTCCCCACCCCTTGCCAGGCTGATATCACTGGGGCACCTCAGAGTGGGGCAAGTGTGTCTCTCCACTTGCCCCAGAAGAACCCCAGCAGCCGAACACTTTCAGAACCCAGTCGCCACCATGCTCACTGCCCACCCTTATAGGCTCGTCCCAAGCCCCCCACCCCCCACACATGAAAGTGAATCTGCTGAAACAGACATATCCAGGTATGTGGGACTATTAACTGAAACCTTCAAGCTTCTAGAGTTGGGAGTGGGCCCTCCACCCATCTCCCTGGCTTCAGATTTCCTGGCAGTCATGGGTGACTCTGGGTGCCTTAATGCACATTAATGGCCATGATTAAGACTCACAAATTAATCTTGGAGGAGAACAGCATGCTGCAGAGATGCCTTTAGACCCCAAAATCACCATCCTCTAGCACCCTATGAAAAAAAATTTTAGAATTCCAGGAGCAGCTGCTCAATATTTCATATATTATGCCACTGATATGCCAATAGTAGCACACCACATTTGGAGGGTATAAGGTAGAAGACAACCCATCTTGATTAAAAAATATATATATAACATATATGTACACATGTATATATACATATACACATATACATACATACATACACACACACATATAAGCACAAAAGACTCAAACTCTAACAACATGTTAATGATCTCTAATTCAGGGGCTTAATAGCTCCAAGATGAGATACAACAATTTTCACACAATTTCCTCTAAGGAAACCTTTTTGGATCATTTTTAGTCAATTATTCATAACAAGCAATAGTACTGTAGCACTGTCCTCCCGTTGTTCATCAATTTGCTCAAGCAGGCACCAGTAATGTCTCCATTGTTGAGGCTTGTTGTTACTGTTTTTTTGCATATCCAATACATCACGAGGAGCTTTCCAGACTTTGCCATGCGGGTGGGATACTCTTGGGAGCTTGCCAGCCTCTCCGAGAGGGACAGAGGAATCGAACCCAGGTCAGCTGCGTGCAAGGCAAACACCCTACCCACTACAAAATAAATTAGCATCTGCCTTTGGGGCAGGCTTGGGGGGTGGTGGAAAAACTCGAAGTAATAGTGATGGGAAGGTATAATGGTGGTGGAATTGGTGTTGAAATATTGAATGTAATCAATTACTGTGAACAACTCTTTGAAAATAAACTTTTAAAAAAGCAGCAGGTGTGCACAGATGATTATTGTTAAGCCAGTGTCCTCCACCCCAACTCCCGCTCCCTTCTACTCCTCCTAGACCCCCTCCAACGCTTCACTGACTCATGCCCTTGCATCCTTATTCTTCCCAAATATCGAGGAGGGGACTTGGTGCACCCTGGCAATACTACAGACATGTGTTCCCTGGTCTTCTGGCCAAGTAAGAGCTGATTTGGGTTAAAATAATTGGCTTGGGGATGGGGAGATCGATATCTTGCATGTACATAACTGGAGCACATGCCTTGCGTCTATGAGAGCCTAGATTTGATCCCTGGCACTGCTAGGAGGTCCCCAACAGCACTGGCTTTGGAAATCTCTGCCAGAGATTTTTCCTCCCCACTTCCCCCTATTTGGTCTGACTGGTGTGAGGGATCCGTGGAAGAATGAGAAGGCAGACAGAGCACTGCATATTAGGAAGATGGGACAGACACTTCATTCTGAGGGTCCCTGGAAGCTATTCCCAGTGATTCTTGACCATGCAAGGGCCTCAGAATGAGGTGCTGATTAGGCCCTGAGGTCCAGGGAGCACCAGGCCTAGTGGTGCTTGGGGCGACACGTGGCAAGGCTTGGGGGCCACATGGTGCTGAGGATGAAGTGTCCATCAGGCTTGTGCAAGGCAAGTTCCCTGTAGTCTCCCTGGCTGCTGTTTGTGATTTTTTTTAACCATGGCTATTCCATCCTCCAGAGTCCACTAAGCTCTGACCGATGGCCTGGAGGGAGGAGGGGGCTGAGGGAAAGCTCGTGGCTGACTTGGACTCTGAAATATGTGAGAGCCCTATCTCCCCTTCAGGGCAGTGACACCAGACACACCAGCACCTTCTGGCAACTCTGCGACCTGCAGCCACCAGCGCAGAAGGGAGTACAGAGACACCGAGACTCGAGTCTCAGAGTAAGCTGACCTTGACCACGCTCAAGGTCACAGCACCCAAAGCAGAGTACCCCAGGCCCTTCCCTCTGCGGGGCATCTCCTCCTAAGGGATATTTTCATTCTAATAAAAAAATTTATTGTGGTGCCAAGATTTTCATAGGCAGCTAGAAATGGTACCTGATCCCCAATTCTCTGAGTGTTTTCTCAGAGGTGAGAGGCAGCAGAATTTGGGGGAACAGAGGCTAAAGACAGCTCCCGGAGGGTGGGGGGTGGGGGCTAACACTGCTCTCAGCAAAGTCATCTGTCACCACCAGAGACTCAGCAAACCAGGAAGCACCCCCCAGATTTAGTAGTGAACTGTGAGGGGCCAGGCCCCAGGGGTACCCGGGAGAGCTGAGCCTTGAGCTGGATAATGGGCACAAACGAGGGATCTGTGTGCCTCTGTCTGTTGACAGGGTGGGACATGGAGCAGGTGGGCTCAGGGGGAGGCGAGCAGGCCCAGCATGTTAGAATGGCCTGGTGGCAGCCTCCTCACAGTCCAGAGCAGACAGCAGGGACAGGCAGGAGGTGGGTCTGGGCACAGCAAGTAGAAGAAGAAGCCAGAGACAAATGCACATGCTGCCCAATTTTTCAGTAGGAGTTCTTAGGGATGGAGAAGCACCCTGAAATCAAGCCCAAGTCTGTCTCATAGAGCTCACGTAGGACAGAGCCCAGACCTCCCCCATCACCCTGCTTCCATCCAGATCTTCCCGGAAACCGCCCCCTCCCCCCATAGGATAACACTGTTTTGTCCTTCCTCAGGTAGCTTAGGTTTATTGGGTCATACCCATCTAAGGACACTGAACTTGTATTGTAAGCAATGTCCTTTCTGTATGGACACAGGAAGACAGTTAATATTATGCTTTGTAACTTGGGAGTTGATTGACTCTGAGTAATATTTACTCCTGGGCATCTGATTTCTTGACTCAGTTGCCCTTAGTTCCTAGCACCCCAAAGCAGCATCCCGATGAGGGACTGAATGGACCCAGGGCAAGCTGTGAGCTATCCTGGTATCGAAAAGGGTCAGGCCAAAGCACCACAATACTCAACTATAAGTTGAGGGCATGATCATGGACAAATGCTGTCATGATCCAAAAGTAAGTAATGATGAGACTAGGACCCTGCTGGAGCTAGGAAGATTTAACCTGACCTGAGGACTGCGGAATGTATAGTGAGATGTTCTCAGGCCAGGTTAAATCTTCCTAGCTCCAGCAGGGTCCTAGTCTCGTCATTACTTACTGATCCGGGCCACACACAGGGCTCAAGAGCACCGAATGCAGGCAGTGAGAAAGAGCCACCCAGTGAGCCCGTGAACACACAACCTTCAGCATGATAACATTTTGCACCCCCCCCCGCCCAGTCGGACCCCAGCTACAAGCCCAACATGCTGATTCCCTCTGCGACATTCCCCATCCGGCAGACCCTACCTTGTGGGAGTAGTGCTGGTCTACGATCCTGGCCAGCCCAAAGTCCCCGATCTTGAGCACCAGGTCTTCGGTGCTGATGAAGATGTTGGCTGGCTTGAGGTCGCGGTGCAGCACGTTGGCGGAGTGGATGTACTTGAGGCCACGGAGCAGCTGGTACATGAAGAGCTTGGCGTGCTCTGGGGTGAGGGTGCCCTGTTCCAGCAGGCGCGCCAGGTCCGTCTCCATGTACTCCTGCACGATGTAGGCCACGCTGAACTGGAAGAGCTCGCCCTGCAGCTCGGCGCCCTGGGGCCCCAGCACCTCGTACACCTTTACCACGTTATCGTGGTCCAGCCGCCGGATGATCTTGATCTCCCGGAGGGCGTGCTTCATGCTGCGGGCATCGCTCAGGGCGATCTTCTTCACGGCCACCTTCCGGCAGGCCCTGCTGTCCACGGCCGACAGCACCAGCCCATTGACGCCAAAACCCAGGGGTTGGAAGTCAATGAAGCGCCCCCCGAGGTCATACCCGTACATGCTGGCGAGGCCGTTACCCTTCTCGGCCATCGTTGGCTCAGTGCTTGGGGGCTGCACAGGGCGTGGAGGGGTGGTCGGCAGTGTCCCCAACACACTGCATTCTGCAGAGTCCTGCTGAATCTCGGGGAGGTCCTTTATCCTGGGGGAGGGTTGTCCACCAGCTCCCTGGAGACGGAGGGGGCCGGGCTCAGAGCTGCAGAAGTTGGAGGGTTAGATTGTTTTCTGCACCTGCACAGGGAAGTCGGACCCCCAGCTCCTACACAGTCCAAGCGCCCCTGGAACCTTCCAACTGCTCATGCTTCTTTCCAAGACAACCTCGGAGGAAGAGAAGCCGAAGTCAAAGTCTTGATCTTCATGGACGACCAGGTAAAGAGACAAATGCTCCCCCTTTGATCTGTAGGTCCCAAGAGGCTCCCTCGGCCGCTGGGGCCCAGCCGTGTTCCTTGGCTGAGGAGGGATAACCCAGCTGAGGGGGTCCACAGCCTTCAGCAGCTCAGACACTGCTCCGTCTCCCAAGCAGGAGGAAGGGATTCAACCGCAGATTCTGGAAGATTCTCAGGGCCTCTTCCACTTCCACCAGCTCTTTCCTACCAGCTCCCTGTAGGTTCTGAAATCCAAATCAGACTGGTGAGGCTTGGGTGGAGAAAACTGACAGGACCTAAGTCCCTGATCGTACACCTGAGGTCCCCGATTGCAGGGGAGAATGGCGGCAGGAGGATCCTCCATGCACTTCAGACGGCTCAGCATCCTCGGCCACCCCCTCATCCATGCCACCGCAAGCAAGAATGGGACCTGCCGGGCTGAGCGTGGCTGTGGGGACCTGGCATCCTTCAGACCGAGTCTCCTTCGCTGTCACAGAAATAACGTTGGGTAAATTTCCACACTCCAGCTTCCAACACCTTCCCGCTGGCCAGGCTTTTGTTAACCAGCCCGAGTGTTATTTGATCTGTCCAGCCAGCTGAAACACTGCCACTCAGGAAGCCAGGCTCTTCTCATTCCCCAGCCAGCCCTCCTGCAGGGTGCAGGACTCCCCTGGAAGAGAGGAGACGAATGGGTTAGATAAGTCCATCAAACGATGCGCCTTTATGTAAATGCTGGCTCCAAGGATATCACGCGCCCACTGGGAAGGATCAGCCCTGACCTTTGCAGAATCCTTGCTTTAATGTCTCCGAACACACATACAGGCCCAGTCTGACTGGGACGGATAGGAGACTAAAAAGGAACTAGTGGGGCCAGAGCGATAGTACAGCGGGTAGAGCATTTGCCTTGCATACAGCTGGCTAGGGATCAATCCCCGGCATCCCATATAGTCCCTTGAGCATTGCTAGGAGTTAGTTCTGAATGCAGAACCAAGATTAACCCCTGAGCATCGCCTGGTGTGACCCCCCAAAAAAACCCTAAATAAATAAATACAAAGGAACTAGTTGTGATGGAAAAGAAAAGATCAATAATTTTGTAGGTTTCCCCCCCAACTTGTAACCCTCTTCTTCCTTCTTTGCAAATGTTTGTGAATATTTTAATAGGGGTCACTCAGAGGAGCTTTTGGCTACTCTGGGTCATGCACGGCCGCTGGGTCCTGCAGGTGCTTAGGGTACTTGGGGCCCAGCAGGTGGTTGCTGGGGTTGGATCCAGGGCCTCACATGTGCTAGACATGTGCTCCGCCATTTGAGCTCAATCCCAGACCTTTTGAATATTTTAAGAGTGAATTTGCCACGCGCTGAGATTTCATTACATTTGTATCTCTCGTTTTTCCCTAAAGGTGGCATAAAAACACAAATTACAAGGAAATTATGTGGCCACCCTAAAAAGACTCTCTGCCGCAGGAATCTGGGTGGAGACTTCTGAGCCACCAGCAAGTGAAACTGTCCTTTCTGCAGATGGATGGGAACACACCTCTTCCAAGCAGTGGGGCAAATCCTAGCCTGACTGCCCCCTGCTGGATGCTGTACAGGCACAGGACCTGCAGGGCGGGGTGTGCTGGGGAGGGACAGCACTGCAGAACTAGCAGTAACCTTGAACCCTCTGAAGTAAAGGCAATCTTGTAGCTTCAGAAACAGGTTCTATGAGTTCATGAAGTCCCCCAACACAGAGAACAAACGCTGTGTTCGGTTCAAAGGAACAAATCCAGTCAAGGCTGATTCATGAAACAAAGCAACGGCCACGTCAGTCAACAGCCAACTCAGTACTTGCAAGTCATAAGGAAAGTGAGGGGGACATGGATGATTTGAAATAGCCAACAACAACTGGGTTTCCCTCTGAAGACTTCTAAGAAAGGAAACCCTTTGCCCAGGGACGGGACTGTAGATGAGAGAAACGTGAAGTGATGTTGCCATAGTTAAACATTTCCTTGCACAGGTGAGGCGATAGACATGATAACCCTTCAGTATTTGTATTGCAAACCACAATGTCTAAAGGAAAGAGAGAAAGAAGACAAGTATCTGCTTGGGAGAATGGGGGAGAGAGATTTGGTGGGAGGGAAACTGGGGACATTGGTGGTGGGAAATGTGCAGTGGTGAAGGGATGGGTGTTGGAACATGGTATGGCTGAAACCCAATCGTGAACAATTTTGTAACTGTGTATATCACAGTGATTCCACTAAAAAAGGGGAGGGATTCCCTTACACTTAAATAAGATGTAGCTATTACTCAGATAGTTCATAAACTCTTCATCAATTCTACTCTAAATTTGACCAGGAGCAAACTCATTGCAGATGTATAAATTGTAGTCTGGAAAGCAATTGTGAAAAAAAAAAACTCCAGTGGTTCTTAGCTGGGGAGACGCCTGACCTCCGTGGTCCCTGGGGGTAGTCACCTGGCCTGTAATGGGCAGGACCAGATGTGCTAGTCCTCCTGTGGAGCATCTCCACCCCCAAATGCCCACGGCACCTCTGCAGAGGACAATGATGCTGGCACATGCTCTCACTTTGCAGTTGCGGGCATAGGGCTCTGAACGCCAGCTCAGTGCTGCCAGTGTTGGCAGGACCAGCTTGCATCAGATGAGGAGATGACGGAGAGAAAACATTTAGGCAGTGGGGGGGTGGCATTGGGGATACTCACAAGGTCAATGTTTCTCGTGTGAGCTAATCAATTCCACAGGACACCAACCCAGGGGAGGTAAGAGTATCTCAGAACCTCAGGACACCCTTCCATGACTCCAGCTTCCCAAGTGCAGTGAGAGAAAGAGACCGGGAGCCTTTTTCTACTCAGAGGTCTCAGCTGGTTGCCAAGGACACCGTGAGCAGAGGCCGGTGCACATTTTGCTTGAGGAAGGGAGATTCTCTTTCCTCTCTCGCTTCTACTGGGCTGGAAGCAGCGGCAGGAGTGCACCTAGGCAAGGGATGACATCACCAGTAAGCTGAAAGGATCTGCTCCAGACCAGCTGCAATGCAGATCATCTGTGAGTAACTAAGGGGCCCTTTCCTTACTTCCACAACACTCCTGGGCGGGGAGGGGGGTGGCTCTCGGGGTGTGTGCGTGTATACATTTGCATGAGTCTCCCCAACATGCTGCCAGCTTCAATGGGCAATTACCACGTCCCCTCATTCTGACTGATTTTGACATTTACCATGTGCTACTCTGGGCTGTTACTAAACTTTTTTTCAACATGTCCATCTCCTGACTAGGCTTTAAACCCCTTGATTCCAGGGCACCAAGTTGGCTCAGAAAATAACTGCGGATGACAAGTGCCGGAAGAACAGCTGTTGCCAACAAAAGTGAGATGCCCCCACGGCTCCTTCATGCCCAGACATCCCCCCTGCCTCTCACCACCCCATCCCTCCCCCAGCTTGCTCTACTGCAATTTACTCTACAGGGTTCTTTGTACAAGTTCCACCACTCAGACAAACCAGTGCTGTTGAACATCACTTACATCACCTGCCTGGAATTCTTTTCTTAAAGAAAATGTCTGGGGACGAGAGAAAGAGAGAGGAAGAGAGAGAGAGGGAGGGAGAGAGAGAGCAACAGAGAGAGAGACAGAGAGAGGCAGAGAAACAGAGAGAGACAGAGACAGAGAGAGGACAGGGTCAAGGGCACTTGTCTAGCATGCAGCTGATTCTGGTTTGATCCCCAGCTCCACATTTGGTGCCCTGAGCACTGCCAGGGGTAGCCCCACCCCCAAACATGTTGTCTGAACCCTATGTTCACTACAGAACCATTTGCTACAATCCAAGACTTAGAAACAACCCAAACGCTCGACAATGGATGAGTGACTAAAGGCATAGCATGTGCACACTATAGAATACTACTCAGTTGTGAGAAAAATTAAATCTTTGGGGCCGGAGAGAGAGCACAAGAGGTAAGGAACTTGTCTTGTATGTGGCTATGGCAGCCGTGACCCTGGTTCAAATCCTCATTATCACATATGATCCCCTGGGCACTGCCAGCTATGGCGCAACCCTCTCCCTCACCCCCACTCCCTTATGAAATCTTGCCTTTTGCCACAGTGTGGATGGAAATAAAGGAGCCGTATTAAGTTATGTAAGTCTGAAGGAGAAAGACAAGTATCCAGTAATCTCACTCATATGCAGGATATTGAGAAGCAAAGTAAAGGAACAGACAGAACCCAAGGAAATCGATCTGTGAACTCCGAATGCAGAGCTGCAGTTTCATGGGGTTGGAGGCAAGAAAGGAGGAGGCCAGGGAGGGAGGGGCCTATGGATGGGGGAAAGAGATAGCAGTACTTCGATGCTGAGCACAGTGTAGGGAGGTACCATAAATGGAAAGGGTGTAAAATTATACCCCTAAAAAACATGTAGTCATGTAAACAGATGTAATCGCCATAAAACACATATTTTATTTTATTTATTTTTTTTAGTATTTCTTTTTTTTAAATTTTTTATTAGTGAAACACCATGAGGTACAGTTATAAACTTATGAATTTTTGTGCTTGGGTTTCAGTTATACAATGATCCATCCCTCCACCAGTGCCCATCCTCCACCACCACGGGTCCCAGCATCCCTCCCACTCCCCATCCCCCTGTCCCACCCTGCCTCTGTGGCAGGGCATTCCCCCTTGTTCTCAAAACACGTATTTTAAAGAAACGCCTTTCTTAGAATTTCAGCACTCACCACGCAGCCCTCCTCTGACCATTCGAGTAGCCTGTTTTCAATTCCCTCAAACCCTTGTTTCTTACGATGCTTCTTTATCCGCCCTTTGCTTTTCCCTCCCTGCAGGTGGCCTGGTTATGAAACACCTATTACCTTCGAAGTCTTGGATTAGTGATTCATTTCTTGCATGTTATACCAAGAGGGGTAACATGGACAGGGCCGCTCCAGTCCCTGAAGACACCCATAGGAGCAGGAGAGTGGGTCTGCCCACGGTTGGCATGATATAGCTGCTCGGGACTAAACGCTGCCCGGTGAGGCAGTGGCCCGGGGGCTGCAGGGAAGCACAGGTGTGAGTTCAGACTAGGGAATCTGCATCCAGCTGGCAAGAAGGGAAGGGCCTGGCTTCAGCAAGTGCTCGAATGACACTGAGCAAGAAGAACGCACGTAATTCGTGCAAGGAGAACCCAGCCTCCCACGACGCCGGTGGATACTGAAAATAAAACCCCACAGCAAACAAAACCCAGGCTCGTAACAATGCAGCTTCACTTCTCCTGATTTCTTTCTGGCTTTCTGGCAACATCTTATTTGAGGCTAATTATTCTCCCATTCACCCAGCCTTTTAATGTCTGAAGGCAAGGCAGAGATGAGGTGTGTGCCAACCAGCCTTTTGATAATTCCGGGGACTCTGGCTTGCCAAGTGGCTTTGCAAAAATCTAAATTTATACTCATCCCATGACCTGCTCTGCTCCTCCAAAACCTCATGCTGTCTCCTTTCAGCAGAAGTAGAACCACCAGGGAGGGTTGCCTAGACACTGTCTTCCTTCTCCTGAGCACTCAACACTTGTAGGATAGCCTCCTCAGAGAAGAGCGGATATTTACTGTTGAACTGGATATCTACTGTGCACTGGACAGTGTTAGGGGTCCCATTCATATCACTCTGCTCGGGGTGGGGAGGGAAACTCAACCCATCCTCCTCCAAGGAGACCCGGTGAGGACAGCCAGGCGTGGAGGCAGGAGACGCTGCTGAAGACCTCTGGTTCCAGCCACAGTCATGCTTAAGACCACCCTCCACACGTTTGTACGAGCCTCATGTATGAAGGAACTGACAGAGGAACCCAGGTGTGAAGAACTCGGGGCGTAGATCTCCAAGCCTGCTTGAATTGGGACTGGGGCCTCCTCTACCCAGATCCCCCATCTTCCAGTATGTAGGCGTTACATCCACCAACAGCCCCCGTGTAATCCCATCAACGGCCAAGACCCAGAGACTATAAAACCCAGCTCCTGGAAGTGCAACATCTTATTATCTAGTTCTTACTCTGGAGAACCTGGCAGGTTACCAAAAGTATCCTACCCACACAGCAGAGTCTGGCAAACTCCCTGTGACGTATTCAATATGCCAAAAACCAGTAACAATGATGGGTCTCATTCTCCTGACCCTGAAAGAGCCTTGAATGTGGCACTTTTTAAAATCTCAGGACTAGGATGGAGACGTTACTGGGGCCTGCTCGAGGCAATTGATGAACAACAGGATGACAGTGATACAGTGATTCCTATCACAATCAGATCTGAAGCATCACAGTCCTATTCAGGATGTCGAGTAAGTGAATAAAACCCTCAAAGACTGGCCTCTTTTTTTTTTTTAAATGAATCACTGTGAGATACACAGTTACAAAGATGTTCATGATTGGGTTTCAGTCAAATAATGTTCCAACACCCAGCACCCCCCCAGTGTACATTTCCCATCACCAGTGCCCCCAGTTTCCCTCTAGACACCACCTCCTGCCTGCCTCTATGGCAGACACTTTTCTTCTATCTCTCTCTCTTTCTTTCTCTCTCTGTCTCTCTCTCTTCTCTTTTACCTTTTGGGCATTTTAGTTTGTAATGAAAGGTTACTGAAAGGTTATCATGTATATTTCTTTACCTCCTTTAACACTCAGTTCTTGTAGACTGGCCTTTAAAGAGAGAGAGAGAGAGAGAGAGAGAGAGAGAGAGAGAGAATTAATACCTTAAACTTTGCAGGGCATGCAGTTTGTTATACTACTTATACTACTTCTGTGCCACCCTCATGGCACACCTACCCCCACTCCCTACACACACACACACACACACACACACACACACACACACAGTTACAGGTAACACCTAAACAAATGTAGGTAACTGTAATTCAATAAAACTTTATTGACAAAAGTTGGTGTGGGGGCGTGGAGGCCATTGTTTGCCAAGCCCGACTCAGGACTGTGTAGGAGCACTCTGGCTGGTATCTGAGGGTGCACAGAAACGTGTTCTAATGGAGCGTTCTGCAGCCTCTCCTCCTTCATGGACTCATCTTGCTGGCCCCCACCCCACCCCGTTAGCACTGCCTCTGGCTTGCCTTCCAGGGAGAGTTCCATGCACTTGGCACCCCGCCCTGGCCCGAGCAAAGCTTCTCTGGGCCCAGCTCTACTTTCCACAAGCTCCCTTCTTGGCCAGAAATTTGAGAATTTCAATGCAATTATTCTAAACTGGCCCTGATCTGGCTGCTGGAGAGGCAAGATAGAGAGGGAGGGGTGGGGCCATCTTCATGGGGTCACCATGAGCCTGAACTCAGCCTGACTGTTTCTAACTTGGTCTCTCCAAACAACCCCAGGAGGTTGACCCCATTCTCCCAAGAAACCATGGGAGACCGTGGCCAGTGGTGGAATCAGGGAGGCCTGCCCCACACACTGCAGGACACGTTCTCTAAGTGCCAGTGAGCGGTGCCCACCACGAGTCACTGAGGCCCAGAGCAGTGAAGGCCCGCAGAGGGCAAACTGGGAGCAAGCCGGTGGGATGGAGCTCCTCCAATCACAACAGCAGGCAGTCCCTTCTTCCATGGGGGCTCAATTACAGAGGGGTCCCACGATTCATAGCCCACGGAAAGAGAAATACAATGTGACTATGAGATTAAGAACTGAGAAACAGCGGGGCTGGACAGATCACATATGAGAAAGGCACTGACTGACCTTGCATGTGGCCAACCCATTTGATTCCTGGCACTGGACACAATCCCCAACCTGGAAGTAGCCTTTCCTCTCTCACTGTGAGACTCATGCCGGCAGGCATGGCTGCAGGGGCCGGCATCGTAGAGGCAGCTGAGTGGTGCATCTGCCCTCTGGCTGGCTCAGCCGCCTGCCCACAAGCCATTCATACCCATTCCTCCACATGAACAAAAGCCAGGGCTAGGGTGTCCAGGGACAGCTGACATAAAGGGACACTGAACAGGAGAGAAAACCAGGCTTTCTACAATCTCAGGGCACTCAGCACTCGAAGTCAGCACATTCTTAGATGTAGGACTACCCTGTAACTGCCTGTACTGTAACTGCCATCCTTGGTCTCTCCCGACTCAGTGCCAGTAGCACTTCCAGTTATAAAGAAGCATCGCTGGCTATGACTAGCAAAGTGTTTCTGCTGAAATATAGGGAGAAAGAATAAATCCAGCCCCGGTGAGAGCCTCTGATCTAAGACAGGTACAGTGTTGCTATGTCAGTGATCTCTTATAGAAAGGCTTAATGGTCCCTGGGTGAAATACAACAATCTTCACCCTCTTTCCTCTAAGGATACTTTTTTGTAGCATGTTCAGCCATTTTTCATAACAAGGGATAAAAAATATATTATTTTGGTTCTGCTTTGGGGCAGGGATTGGAGTTTGGGATGGAAACATCCAAAAAATGGTGGTGGGAAGGTGTAATGGTGTTGGGATTGGTGTTTGAATATTAAATGTAATGAAATATTGCGAACTACTTTGTAAAATAAAAAAAAAATTTTAAAAATAAAGAAACGGTGTTGGTGTGTGAGCATTGGTTGTTTTGTGGAGCTGTCCAGTGCTTTGTTGGTGGGAGTTTAGCATTCCCAGCCTGACCCACTGAATGCCAAAGGCATCTCCTGGCCCCTGTGAAAGCACCCTCCACCCTCAAACTTTTAGAGGCCACAGAAACTCCCATATGGGTCCCTGTTGAGAAGGTGAGTCCATCTGAGTGTGGTGATACAATTCCCTGTGGGCAGTGATGAATTCAGCCATTTGATCCTATTCCGGTTTATAAGCTTTGAAGAAAAGTCTCCATGGGGAGCAGAGCTGGGGTGAGAGGTAAATTGTTACCCTCCCCCTCCTCCCTGTCTTGGGATGCAGTTAAAGCAGGAGGTGATCATGTGGCCATCTGGAGGCCACAGGAGCACAAGCCAGGGACAAAGACCAATATGCTGGATTGGCAGGTGAGCCTGGGGCTTCATCAATACCACTGAGTCACGGGAGCAAACCCAGAAGGACCTGTCCCCAGAGTTCCTACCAAAGGAGATCTTCAAGTCCAGTGATTTCAGACATTTTCAGTGTCTCTCTTTTTGCCTAACACTTACATCTGAAATTAGAGTAACTAAATTTAAGGGACATGTTTGTCACTATGGCATGGTGTAAGATATACCTGCTGACTTCAAGGCACTGATATTTTTACTGGGGAAGAAGAAACCATCCTAACCACTTTAGAGGCACTGCAAGAGCGAGGCTAACCAAGAGTTCCTGCTGCCAGGCCCAGGAGGTAAGACAGACTTGGACGTAAGGACTCAGTGCTGACCACCCACACCCCCATTCAGACCCTGCCTGGCCTCCTCCCCTTCAAAGTGTGATGGGACTTTCGTGCCTTCCAGGTGCAGAATATGGCAGAAGACAGGTGCTGACACTTGTGAGCAGAGGGCATAAGAACACCCTGGCTTCATGTTGGCTGACCACAGCAGCCGTGGTGGGAGACTGTGGGGGGTAGGGGGGGCCCACACGAGTCCTTAGAGATGAGTTCTTGCTTCATCCCAAGCCTCCAGCTTCCATGGGAGTGTGGAAGCTGATGGTTCTGCAGTGAGAGAAGGTCACGGCACTGGTACAGCCTGGCAGGGCTCATGGCAAACTCTCCATCACAAGCCCAGATTCCCATCCCATGGAAACTCTGCAGTAACAAACACTGTTTATGCTACTAGATTTGGGGGTCTAGAAGCCGGAGAGACAGTACAGCAGGTAAGGCACTTGGTTGGCACCTGGCTGACCCTAGTTTGGTCCCTGGCAACACAGACGGCCCCCTGAGCCCCACCAAGAGTGATCTCTGAGCACACAGCCCTAATCACTGTCGGGTGTGGTCCAAAAAACAAAATGATCAATAAGTTTGGGGTGTATAGTATGTAGCAGTAGATAGCGAATGAATGGGAAACCACTAGAAGACCTGAAGCCAGGGCACCTGGGGCTTGGCTGCCTTGAATCTCATCAGATTCGAGCCAGACAGAACCTTGGGAGGACAGGAACTTGTCCGCTCTGTGGCCCCAGCGATGGCTCAGAGGTGCTGGAAAGAAGCAACCCATAAACAAATACTAGTTGATCTAGAATCGGCTACTCATGTGCAGAAAGAATTTGGTGATGACCAATGAAAAGATGAATTTAAAACAGGTCCTAAGTCCACAGAACAAAGGCGTCCAAATCCCTCTAAGATGAGAGGGAGGAAGAAGTGGGGGTTCAAAGAGAGGAAGCCAGACAGAATCCCCCCAAGAGCTCAGCATTCAGAAGTGCTTCCTCACCCAGTGCCAATCCCAAGTCTGGAATGAGTGTGTCTGCTCTGACGCTCAGCCGGGTGACCCCAGGGTGCTCTCCCAGGAATGAAGGGAAACATGTCTTCTGGGTGCCCCAGAACCTGCTTCTGGAATTAAGTCCTGCTCCCTCCAGCTGGAGGTGAGCAGCCTGGCACCCCTCATGGGGCACGATGCCAAGTCAGGCTGCTTTGTCTCTGGGCCATGCCTCTCCCATGCCCAGGCTCACTCCCCGCCCAGTCCCGAAATGACCCGTCCAGCAGCAGCCAGCAGGACTGCAAGCCAAAAGCACTGCTTAGTCTAGAAGAAATGTGTCCCTGGCAGGCACTGCTGCCCACACCAGACCCCGGCAAGCATCCTCCCAAGGGACGGGGCCAGCCATGCTGCCCATCCCGGCCATTTTCCTTATAGGGTTCCTGAGAGCATGCGGGTGGGATGCAGTTGGCTAAGAAGCTGCTTGTCTTTACCTCCCCGAGGTGGGGCAGGGAGGAGACGGTTACAAGATAACGGGCCACGCAGACAGAGAACGCCTTTGGGGAGTCAGCTCCATCTCTGCCCAGCCCTCCCTCTGGAACGTTGCATAAGCAGAGTCAAGAGGACGATTCCCACCCCCGTCCCCCGCCCCGGGCCTCCCCACATGACTGTCACAGCCTGGAGAGAAATTCCAGAGTTCGGGACCTGCAGAGACGCACGTGGGTGTGGAGTGGGAGGACGGTGCCTGGGGCCCCTCACGGGTGAAGTGTGGGTGCAAGTCACCTCAGAAGCAAATCTCAAAAAGGCTGCACTTGCCCAGGCTTGAGGCTGGGAGATGGACTTGTGGGTCACACACATGAGCGAGAGTCTGCGCTTGTCCCATGTTCTAATCCTGGTTTCACACAGCGTCTACCACATCTGGCCTGTCAGTTACAAGTGGAAAATTCTCATTATTTTTTTTTGTATTTTCCTCCTTTTAAAGGAACAGGGAGTGGGGGTGGGTGGAACACACCTGTCAATGCTCAGGATTAGATGGTGCCCAGGGGACCGTATGCGAT